TATAGTAATTTATATATAGAACCACATCACGTTTCACTATGATCATTCTTCAGTTGACTGGAGAATCATCAATTAAACTACTTAAGTCACCTTTTTCAAGAGAACCGATAGTGTGCACCTAATCCTGATTTCGCAGTTCACATAATTCTTAAATATGATCTAAACATGGCAATTGGTTAATAAAAGTGAAGAAAAATGTTGTAGAAAATGAAATTTAAAAGCTAATACTCATTTATTTGTTTTGATTTGGTGCCTTGTATGTTAAAAGAACCATATGTTTCTTCAATAAATCAATTAAATATCTTATTTATTAATTGCTGCTTTGATTTTGAGAAGCATTTAGAATGCGTTTACTAAAATTAAAATACATTTAAATTATAACTATAAACAAATTATAACAAAAAATTATCTTATTATACTGAGCAACAACTATTGCAAAAATTTGAATGTTTGAATTATTAGCAATTTTATTATTGAGCCAGTTTTGATTCTATACTAGTAGTTAGGATGTACGCATATGAAAACAAACTATTTATTATTTAATTAAAATGCATTTTTTTCTTATATGGAAATAATGCTAATAATAAAAACAATTATAAAAGAATAAACTGTTTTTAAAAAAGCGATTTGACATTTTTTTGCATTATGAATTTAGCATATCTTTAATATTAAATTAAATCTTTATTTCAAAGTTTGTTTTTTGAAGTTCATTCAAAGAAACCATAGCTTCTAATCATTATTTAAATTTTATAGTTAATATATAATATTTTGCTAAATATGTTGTATCAATTGCATGTATTTGTAATATATTACCTTTGATATATGAGGTTATAGCTGTCTTACTTTTCCTTTGAATTATAAAAAAATAATATAAAAATAATATTAGCAATTTCATAATTATTTAAATTAATATTAATCAATATAATAAATAATTAAATACTTACTAAACTTTATGAATTCAAAAACATCATATGTTCATTATGATCTTTCCAAGTACGTGGGCTGGTTATTCTTCTTTTATATGATTGAAATCTGTTATCAAATTTCGTATATCTTTAAAACTTTCTTGAACAAATCGAGCCTATTGAATATTATTAGCATTTTCTTGTTCTTGTACAATTTTAATTGTATCAAGAAGTATTGATTTATATTCTTCAAATAAATGCATTGATTCATTATCATCAATTGAACCAGTAATATTTATCACATCATATATTTTTAAATTAAAATTTATAGTAGTAAATTAAAATCATGAAAGTAAGTTCATATGTATAAAAAAATAAGTTTTAACTTGAAAAATCATAATTTTATCTGCATTAGAATGAATTAATTGTGTAGCCAAAAATTGTGCTTATCGAATATATAATGATAAATTAAAATCATGATAATCAAATGCATGAAAACAAGTTTGAACTTGAAAGATCATGATTTTTATCTGTATTAGAATATGATAACTGTGTAGTTGAAGATTGTGCTTGTTGAATAAATTTAGATTTTGCGGTAAAAATAGAAAAGGATAAACTTCTTGTCACTGAACATTTTTAAAAAAGAATATGTTGGTAATAAATTGAGATGCTTAAATTATATGTTTACACAAAAAAATCGATTAAGTAAAAATCTGGAACATCCACAAATCCATCTTTCAACATCAGTTACATAATTGTGATTAATTTTTCTTTTTTTTAGTATAATCCATTCTTTTTTAAATTCTTTGTGCCAAGAAGGCATTTCACATTTAGAATAATACTTATTGTATTGTTGTGTATAGTGTGGAATTAAATGAGTAACTATAATATATGTTAATAAGTCAAGGCATGGTCTAAAGAATTTTGGTAAAAAATCACTCTTTAAAACCTTCCAGTGAGATTCATATAACATAGTAGTACAAAAGATACAAATTCTATTGCATGCAGAATGGGCTCACATATTCCAGATTTCTTTACGATATCAACATTCCTATAAATAAGTCCAAAGAAGCTTTAAATCATGATTAACACAAAATTCATAAACTTGCTTTGTTGATTGTTCCCAAATTTCATTTGCTGACAGATAAAGATCACTAGCATTCAGAATTAAAGTATAAAAATGTATATGGCTTTCTATTATTTCAATAGTCTTAGAGCGTAACTCTTTAGAACAAAAACAAAAATTTTTTTTTTGTGCCAAAGTTAGTTGTGATGGTGGTGTTGGGTAAAATTCAATATTGACGAATTTGAATATTTGATAAACTGAATTTGAACTATAATGAATTGTTTTAGGATATACATTATCAGCAAAACACCTTTTAAGTGCTTTCTTTATATGCTAATAACAAATTTGAATTTTTATATTTGGCCAAGTTTTTAGTGCAGCTGATATCTGTTCAAAATCTTTATCTGTTAAAAAAAAGCTCACATAATTTAATCCCAAATCAAATAAAGACTTGAAAAATAAACTTAAAATATCTGTTTATGTACCATCATTTTTCTTAGATCCCTCAATAAACAAATATACAAGTGCGAATTCTGATCCATCATAATAACCAATGACTGAATATAATTCATATCCTAAAGCATTCATTTTATAGGTGGCATCTGTAACTATTTCCTTGTTATTTTTTAATAATTCAAAAAATGCCGTTATAAAGCCTAAATATTGAATATTTGGAACATTGCTTAAAATAACCTTGCATTCGTTCTCTTCTACTAGTATTTTTAAGAAATTTAATTGATTATCATTACGAATGTACTTATTTTTCAAATAATAAGTCCACCAAGCATAAACTTGTTTCTGAGTTAGATTTGGATATTGCTGTTCCAGTTGTCTAAAAATATCTGCAGGCATTCTATAAACATTTTTTTATTACATCCTTAATATCATCAGATGTATTAAATCTATCTGGACGCTTATGGAGTAAACTATGCTAAAGATCAATTATTGCTATATTCATTTCTATATCTAGTAATATTTTTAGAACACTATTACAATTAAATCATTCAATATATTCTCTATTACGCTGCTTATCAAGATCAGATCTTTATGTTTTTGGGGACGTTTGGCTAAAGTACAACTTTGGGAGCAATTATATTAAAATGTATACTGATGAGGATTTTTTTCTGATTATAAACCATATAATAACTAAATATAATTATTAGTAAATACATAACTCATTTTATTAATTCCAAATATATATTATGATTATAATACTTACATGTAATAATATCCATTAGCAGATCCTACTATTTTAGCAATTGTCTTTCCAAGTTCATGTAGCTCACTTTTTAAGGAAATAGTAGATATTTTGCACAAAAACTCTATGCTGGAATTTTCATTTTCAACAAATTCATTATTTTAACTTCAAGAATGGATTCAAATAATTTTTTTTTCATTTCATTGGGTTCAATAGGGTCTGAATTATAAGGTATATTATTATTAAGCTTCATGGCATGATAAGTTTTTAAAATTTTTTGCCGACATTCATTACATGTCTTTGTAGGTTTTCCCATTTTACTAACAAAAGCAGCTTTATCAAAACATTTATTACACCAATCACATCTGAACAAGCTGTTATTAAACATTGGAATCACTTTGTAAGAAAAAATTTTTTTCATTTTAACGATATTTTTATTTAAATACTAGTGATAAGTAGAGTGATCTAAATATAATACTAAGTTAAATGTTTCA